ACTCATTTCCCAACACTGTGGATGTACTTTACCACTGAGGCTACCAGATGGATGTCAGAGCACCATCGGGGGGGGGTGGGGGTGGGGGGTGGTGTGTGTTCATAAATCTCAATAAAGGTGTTTCTTTTTAACCAAACAATAACTTTACATAAAAAGTTGGAGAACTCTTAGGGTTTTGAGGTGCAAAGACTGTTAACAACAAAGTGCAAAAAAGCAGTGGGATGGAGCAGAGAGAGAGATGGATGGTTGCTGATGCACATAGAGCAACAACTTGCGCCAACTCCACACCTGTAACATTTCTCCAGAAAACACCACAGGAAATAAGAATGCTACACAGTGTTCTTTCCTCTTTGTAGGGCACTTACTTCCAAGGAAAAACACACACAGGAATGATGGTATTTGTAATTAAAAGACCAGTTAATGCTTCCCCTTGGCAAATAACTAGAAGACAATGAGTGCAAAAACAAAACAAAAGAAAACAAAACAAAAACCTGGCAATCCCATTCTACAGTTGTTTTGAGCCCCACCTTCTGGACTCAGACAGTGGCTTCTGACTTCTAACTATAATAATAGTAATAATGAGTAACGTAGATAGCATTGCTGGCCAATGCCCTTTTAACATTGCACTGCTTTTTGTGCATGATCACTAGTAGTACAACATAAAAAGGGCACTGGACAGACACCACTCGAAGAAAAAAGTAGGTCCACTATACCAAAACCACAGGGACAGAAAGTAACTGAGTTGCTCTGAATGAAGCACTCCCAGCTCATCTGACGCTTTATCCATTTGCTGTCACGTTTTACTAAATGGGTGTCCACAAAATTTCTCTCAGTGCAGACTGCCAAAGTGCATACTGGAAGTCACCAGCTCAGGGTATGAAGTCCTGAGCATTAAAGGTTAATGGAATGCTTGTACACAAGGATACATTTGTCAGCAGTAACTGCCATCTACTGTATTTTCAGGGGAGGCCTGACTGTGTCTGTTGAAGCTGTTGGAAAGGTCTCCAATCTCAGCTGCCTTCAAGGAACACTTGTGCAGCACAGTCTCCGGTGCCTAAGTCCCAGTATTCTTAGTTAAAGTGTTAATAAGTCAGCTTTACAATATTTTGCATAATGAAACTCTGTAGACATCATGGTTCATTCCACTCTGGTTATTGTACTTTGAGGAACAGTCTCAAATAACCATTGATTACCTGGTGTTTTCATATACATTGTTCTTTTTAAGCTCCTACACATTATTTTATCCCTAAACTGAACAAAAAGACTAAACCAAAGACTAAAAGAAAGCTTCCCATGACATGCATGTCAAAACCTCCAGGGAAATAAGAAGTGCTATTTTATCACACTTCTGTGGAGATAGCTGACTTTCACAGGAAATCCAGGAAGAGGAAACAATAAGCAGAAGGAAAAGCAAGCGACACAAAGCTGTGATGTGAGACATAGCTGCCAATGTACATATTCTGATTAAGTTAAACAATGACGAAGGGGAATATTACACTTTGGGATGAGGTTTGTATATAGGAAATTAGTAAGTGAAACTGTTTGAGATGTATTTAAGGAAACACACTTTTTTTGAAAACAAACCAAACTAAACCAGATGCAGACACAACTGCCTTGTGCCACCCGCAGTTTCAGTGGAAGAAGGCAGCCAGGGATACCATCTTCCACCATCTGAATGAAGAATTAACACAATAATCAAACAGAAAAATATCAGACTAACGGAGTGAAATCAAAATCAATTTTTTTTTCAAATGGATTACCCACAGATCTGGGGTAGTCAGAAGAGGGTGAAAGACCAAGCTGTAGTCTCCACGCTTTTGGAAATCGCTGTGTGCCATCTGTGTGGATAATAGACCCAAACAAGCTCTCCACCTTGAAGTAATCTGTGCAATAATCATATTGGTCTACTCATAAAGTAGATCATTAAGACAATGTCCCACTACAGTCTTCTTCCACTATTATATATAAAAAACCCTGCTAACTTTATGTGGGCACAAATACCTCCCTGACTATTTACATGACCTAAAATGAGAATTGCTTGAAAGTAAGACTTTCAATAACACACATAAATAAACTATAATGTTAAATAAATAAATACCAACATCTACCTAGGTATCTCTAAATAGATTTCTAAATTATTCTTGCTAAACTAGGCTTTTAAATAAATAATACTAATAAAAGATATGGGGAGATCGAGTTTACACTATGGGCAAGGCTGAGGTTTTGAATTTGAAATCAGAATAACTTCAGAGCTCTGACAGGAATACAGTATGTCCCTGAATTAAAATACTGTCTATTATTACCACTCTACATACTCAGTGTGATGACTGCAGCTGAGTAGCCAAAGAGGAAGAAAAATAACCCCCACCTCCTCAAAAGCATGGCTTCTTAAAGCAAAAGCAAGACAAGACACACCACCTTGTTTTTAAGGTGCGGTAAAACTGAGAATTAGGCAGGACAGTTTGAAATCTCTGCTCTTTCAAATAATGCAGGTATTCTGGTGTTTATTCAATTGTTACTTTTTATTTCTTAACAGAAATAGAATCACAGAATAATTTAGGTTGGAAAAGACCTTTAAGATCATTGTGTCTTATGTTGCAGAGATGTGCAGGTCACCCTGTGAGTGACAAAGGCAGAACTAGCTCATGTTTAGACAACTTTCAGCCAATTGCTTCTTTGCAGACAACAAACACTTCCCTGGCTCCCAACTGAGCTTTAATACTCACACTGTGCTGGAGAAGTGACACTAAACTAAGTATGTTTAAACACAGGAGCACTGAGCTGCACAGCAGTTTTGTGTATTAAGGTCTAGTGCCCATTAGGTTAAGGGATAATGTGGATGTAAGATATTCCCCGCCGTGTTTTCCCAGCATTCCTCCTATTATTTTCTCTTGAATAGTCTGCTTTGGTTACGTTACTGTGTACAGGTAACAATTAGGAATCTATTAACCTCATTTTGACTTACTTCTTAATGAGAATGTGAAACCAAGACTGCCAGAGGATAAAAGAAAAAAACAATACAAAAATCTCTATTGTGCTGTTTGTGTTTGTATTTAATAATGCACCTTTTTCTCCATGAGGACACTTGTAGTTTATCAATTAAGTCTATCAATTAATTAAACTTATCAACTACCTAACACTGCTGCTACTACAAATGACAAAACTTTTGTTAAGTTTTCAAGCAAAAACAAAAGGAGCACCATAGTTTGGAGAACTATGGCAGTACCAGCATTTTAATTTATATAGGGTTTAGGATCAGAAAATACCTTATCAGTTAAGGACTGGATGCATAAAACATCCCTGAAGCTTTTTAACTAAAACAAGAGTGTAAACTAATTACATTACACGGAAGGAAAAACGAAGATCAGGATTTGGAGGAGGCCACAAGGAACTTAGCTGTTTGAAGGGACGGCTTTCCAGTGCCTCCCAACATGCGAAAGCACAGCAGAGTTTGTGGGGCTTTTTTACTATTATTATTTCGCTTGTCCATGAGCGGCACAGGCAGAAACGCGGTTATTACACCACGCAGCTCAGTCTTGCCCCCAGGGGCTGGCTCCGAGGAAGCTGAGCGCTGGAGCCGCCCTCTCCCCGGGACCGTCCGCGGCCCACTCCCCACACGCCCCTCTCCTCAGGGTGCCGCAGCGCCCACCCGCGGCGCGGCCATGGGGGAGGCTCCCCGGCTCCGCTCCTGCCGCCGGCCCCGCGGACCTGCCCTGCTCTACCTGCCCCGTCCTCCAGGGCGGAGGTAGAAGTGGAGCCCCAGGCAGCACCGCCCCCGGCGGGCAGCTATCCCGGCGGTAAGCCATCCCCCCGCCCCGCTTCCCCCCCCCCAACCGGGTGCGAATGAAACAGCCCAGAGGCCTCTCCTCCCCCGACACCCCCGCAGGGAAAATGGTCCAGCCCAGGTGAGAGCTCCACCCTCACCCCCCGCTGAGACAAAATGGATTCGTCCGGCAGCGCTCAGCTCCACACCGCCCCCCCCACCCCGCCGCGACGGGGAAATGAAGCAAACGGGACCGGACCGAACCGGACCGAACCGGCCGGCGGTAAACGCGCCCGGGACTGCGCGGAACCCGCCCCGCTCCAGGTGAGCGGGAAATGGCCAGGCCCTGCCCCCGCGCCGAGGGGGTGAATGGAGCGGCACAATCAAGCCCCGCCCCGCTCGGGGAGGGCCGGGGTGGGGGTGGGGGTGGCGGTGGTGAGCAGAATGGACCGGCCCGGCCGAACTTGCCCGACCCGAGCGGCGGGCGCCCCGTCGAGGGCGGCGCGGGCTCCGCTCAGGCCCGGATGGGGCGCGGGCGCGGCTGGGGGCAGAGCGGAGAGCGGCCGCACTGCCCTCGTGCCTCCGGCCGCGCCCGCGCTCCGCTTTCCCCCCTCCATCAGGCGGCAGCCCGGTGCCTTCCGAGGCGCTCCCGCCGCCGGCCCCCGGCCCGGCCGCCCGTCATCCCGGCCGCCGCCCGCACTCACCATGGTCTCGAGCCTGGTAACCGCCGTCTCCATGTTGAATAGTTGACATTCCTCAGGCGGCGGCGGGGAGATCCCCACCCCCCGCTCCTCAGGGTGGGAGAGCCGGCGGCCCCCATTGGGCAGCTGTCACTCGCCGCTCGTCTGTCATTGGCTAGCCGCTGGCAGAACGCTCTCGCCATTGGGTCGGGAGGAATGTAAACCCTCTCCGAGGTACGGGGGAGCTCATTGGTTGGTAGAAAAACTTCAGCTACTGATTGGCTAGGTGGGGGAGCACCGCGAGCCGTTATTGGTCCAGAATGAAATGTAGCAGCGGATGGCTGGAGTAGGGGTGCAGCTCCGCAACTGGCGAGGAGAGCGGTCGATTAGCCGCGGAGCGTGCCTGGCGAGGCGGGGCAGCACGGGGCCTCCGAGGGAACCGGAGGAGGGAACCGGAGTTCCCCCGCCTTGCCTCCCCATTGGCCTTTCCCAGATGAGCGGTGTCCCGCAGCTGATTGGCGGAACTCCAAGCCTTTACCCAATGATGGGTCGGGTCTCCCCGCGATTGGCCATTCGTCGCTCCCGTGGAGCCCGGGCTCGCATCAGTCCGGCTGCCAATCAGCGAGCTGCTAGCACGGGCCGCGGGGGCCGGGACGGCAGAGAGGGGCTCTCCCATTGGCTGGGCTCTGCGCGGGTTGCAGTTTGAATCGGCGGCGCCGAGCGGTAGGTGAGCGGTGGTGGGTCAGAGGGGGCGCCCACGGGGGGGGGGCGATATGGCGGTCTCATGTCCCCGGGCACCCGTCATACAACCGGGGCTCGGTGAGCAACCGACCGCTCCTTGGCGCAGGCCGCGGACAGGAGCAGGGCCTGCCGGTCAGGCAGCGGCTCAGGCACCGGCTCAGGTAACGGGTCAGGCACCGCCCGGACCCCGTGTGCGGATCCTTCGCGTCTTTTGCCAGCGTTCTCCGCAAGCGGCATTTCCGCAAAGGGCAGTGTTTGTCACCTGGGGTTAAAGCACAACTGCCAACAAAAAGCCATAGAAAATGGGACTTTACATAGTTAGCGCCGTGTACAAATATATCCTTGTGGATCATAGGAACTTAAGGATGTATTTTCCCTCAGCTGTGTATGATGCTTCTAGGAAGACAACAGTGAGTAAATTCTGGGTGGATTTTCTGAAATGTGGCTCATGTTCTTGCCTCTTTGGTGTAGCTCTGTGCCCGTGTGACAGCTTCAGTACATTCATTGTAAATGTGTCTTTTTAAACAGTAATGGCCAAGTATAAGAAACGCAGACGAAAACACAGAGCTCGAGCAGAATTTCTACAGGAAAAAGAAAGAGATGCTGCAAACTCCCAGGGCTCAGGTTGTTCTCCACGGTAGGAGGCTCAGCTTGAGCTTTTTAACTCAATTTTGGGTCCACTGTTTGGTCCCCGTGTGGAACTGACACAATAAATTGTACCTGAAGCTTGTCTATGTCCTGGCATGGATGCTGTGGAATTGTTTCACAGACTGGTTTGTGTTGGAAGGGACCTTAAAGCTCATCCAGTTCCAACCCCTGCCACAGGCAGGGACACCTTCCACTAGAGCAACTTGCTCCAAGCCCCTGTGTCCAACCTGGCCTTGAACACTGCCAGGGATGGGACAGCCACAGCTTCTCTGGGCACCCTGTGCCAGTGCCTCAGCACCCTCACAGGGAAGAGCTTCTGCCTAAGAGCTCATCTCAGTCTCCCTTCTGGCAGGTTAAAGCCATTCCCCTTGGCCTGTCCCTACAGGCCCTTGTCCAAAGCCCTCTCCAGTTTTTTTGAAGGCGCCATTAAAGTATTGGAAAGCAGATATCTTTTGTATATTTTCTGGTACTCTATCATAAACTTTATAAGCAGGAAAAGCAATTTGGATAAAAATATATTGTAAATATGACACTCCCCTTTATCAAAATGCATTTTGATCTTTCCTTGTTTCTGTGGTCATGTTTGCTCTGTTGACACCTGCTGTTGCTGGTACTTGTCATTTCCAGATGATTGGTCACATTTAGCTTCTTTTAAAAGGCTGAAATGAGAAATACAATTATGGCCTCATTCTGAAACATTCTGTTCCAGGTCAGCAGGTAATCTTCCTCTGAACACATCATCTGTCCCAAGCCATCTGTCCTCACTCTGGTCAGTAGCCTTGCCCAGTGTGAAAAACATGGTAAAACCCTTCACAACAACAGTGTCATTTTTGTACTGTTGGTGCCAGAACACGGTTGCACAGGTATGTTTTCTACTTCTCTACTTTTGACAGCGTGTGAGGTTGTTCTTAGCACTCGGGTACAGGATATACAGTCAGATTTGAGAACTAAGTTGTAAATTTACTTATGTGTATTGAAGCATCTAAAACATAGTTAGCGCTTACTAACTAGTGTTGAAGAAATAAATATGAGAAGAGTGTCAAGGCAGCTGTGGATATTAAATGCATACGTGCAATTGTGGTTTTTTATTGGAATATTAGGAGAATTTGCAGTGACAGGGTGCAGTCTTCATAGCAGAAATGATTGTATGAGCTTTTCAGTCATGTGAATTACAGTTCAGAATTTCTAGATGAAATTCATTTTTTTTTTTGAGAGAAAGTTATTCCCTGTGCCCCTACCAAGGAACTATTTGGTGGAATTTTGTATCTTTGTGTTGTGCCTTTCTGTTGACTACAGTAAATTTGTGATGGAACTTCCACTAGTAATCATAGCCCTGTATCTGGAAACATAACTTGATAGTGAAAATGCTAATCTGGTTTCTCTTTGCGCTTAGAGTTTTAAAGTGGTTAAAGACACCATATTTCCGTCACAAATCTACTTAAGGGAGCTAAATACATTCAGAGAGCAGCTGAAAAAGTTGGAAACTGAATTTTCCAGACTACAAGGAGCACTCCAGGTCAGTCTCACTCCTGGTGGGGCAGGGTGACATTTGCATAACATGTAAGGCGCTGTGGTCAGTGCCAATAAACCCGGATCTGAAGAGCTTCTCTTTGGTCATTCTCTGCGTTCAGCATTACCTCATAGCTAGAGGGAAGTGGTTTGCTGGTGAGCCTTGCAAGAGGCTTTCTATGTCTTTCTTAGAAATTTTGCTGTCTAAAATTCCATCTACTTCTGCCAATGGATTTAATATTCTCTTATTTGTTTTCAGATGAATGGAACCACAGCCTCGTCTTCAGAAAATTCTCTTTGTCAAAGGTGTAATAAACCACTTGTGGGTGCTCCTGTACCAATGCAGATGGGTCTGCTATCACCAGTATCCAGGCCTTCTGCAATACAGCTGCAGCCTGCATTTGCACCCCCTCCACCTCTTCCTCCTCCACCACCACCACCACCACCTCCACTGCCCCCACCAAAACTGCCTCCAGCACCTCTCCTCCTCAAAAGGGGCAATGGCTCCAAAGCAGTTCTGGTAGGGGGTGAGAAGGTTCCTCTGTTTATTTAATATTTTTTTTCTCGGGGGCGGGTTCCTTGGACCTGGTTCCATCAGGAATGTGCATCTTTGTGAACCTTCAGTCACTTGCCAATTCTAATTTCCCTTCCAACCGCCTTTGTACTCAGATTCCACCAGTGAAAAAAGATGGGCCAATGCAGATCACCCTCAGAGACCTCCTGAATGTTAAACTGAGGAAGGCAGATGGCAGAAGCAGGATGGACAAGGTAAACCAGGAGACATATCGTTAAACAGACAATGGTGTATCGAGGCAAACTCCACCTTGAACCAGGGTATTTCCTGCCTGTCAGTCCCTCATAGAACTTTCTCAGATAATTAATTCTTCTCTTCAAAACCCCAGTGATCAGCTTTAAGTGGTGATTCTGATCTTACACCCAGCACTTGAAGTGAAGAAAGTAAGTGACCCAAACTCGCCTGGCATGCAGGACAGTTCTGGTTTTATCTTAAGAGCATGTAGCATCATGTCTGTATGTTATTAACAGATTTGGGGGTTTTGTTTGCCCAGCTGAAATCTTGTTTGCAACAGTTTGGGGGTCTTAAAATAAATATTTTTAGCTAAGACACGCTCAAATTTTGATGACTGAAAGAAGTGTAACAGCCATAAACCCCAGGTTGGACAGAGCCTTGGGTGATATGGTCACCCATCCCTGAGGCATCCCTGCCCATGGCAGGGGAGATGGAACTAAGTGAAAAGAAGGTCCTTTCCAACTAACCATTTTATGATTGTGTGAAATCTTTCAGAGTATAAATATTAAATAGATTTAAGGTCAGTGAAACACTTGGAAGTTTCATTTTGCTATGTCTTTTATCCCTTCAGGCAGACTCGCCAATGAAGACACGCAGGGCCTTAATTACAGTCTCAGATTTACAGAGTGTTAGTTTAAGACCTAAAACCAAGCCATCTGCTCACGTTACAAACTCCTTAATGTAAGATACTTTCTTCTTTTCTTTAGATTTTTTTTCTGTTCTAAACACTGATTAACACTGTTCAGAGAATGGAAAACATTTTAACAATTTGTTTTGTTCTTCTAGTACCCCTCCCAAAAATCACTTAGATCTTCGAAAACATCTGAAGAAAGTCAATATCCAGAGGTAAGTTCCTTCCTATTCTCTTGTTTTGTTTCTCTGAAGAGAAAAAAACAACAGAGAACTAATCAGAGTTCCTCCTGTTTCTGATCTTTTCAGGAGTCCTGGAGGCACTCCACTAAATGGCAAAGAAAACACAGAATGTGGGTCTGGGTTGACGCCACTAATGACACAGGCACTACGACGCAAATTTCAGGCAAGTCGCGGAGTCTCTCTTTTGGGAATGATTAACTGACTTTAAAATCCACAGAATTCCATGCAGATTTACCCTGCAGCCCAGCACCACTGGTGTGTATTACACACACTGCAGTGTCTCCATAATTCCCATCCAAAAGCGCTCCTTAACACAACCAAGGGTGCTCATTTTAACAGTAAAGAAACAACAGAACAGGAATGCTGTTGCCTGTTCCAGCAGGTTATTTGGCAATACCATGAGGAAAAATTGAGAGGTTTTTTTGATGGCCATTCCAGCTCCTCAACACCATCTCTATAGTTCCAGTTTACAAGAGAACAAAGTCTGAAGGTTAATAATGTCCTTTATTTTAAGGATTTGCCATGTCTGGTTCCTTTTATGGTATCATTTAAGAATTGTGCCGTAGTTTATCTCAGTCATAATTAGAACTGAGTTCGGATGTTCCAAGGCTGACCGTGTCCTTATTTTGACAGATGGCACATCCACAGAGCCCCTCACCTGCCCGGCTGAGTGCTGCAAACAGCTTTGACGAATAGAAGTAGTTTATGGAACACTGCGTTTGTCACCTCTGGTTAGGAAGCCCCTCGAATGCTGTTTTTCTCTTGCTCAGACTTATATATTTGCAAGTAAATCTTGTGTGCACAAGAACAGGACTTTATAAACTCCCCTTGGCAGATTTCTGCTTTTTAAAGGCAATGTCTTTCTAACATGTTTCGGTTTGGTTGCATCTTAATGGTGAAAAAATTAAGAAACTTCCTGAGTCTCTTGATACCTGAGGCAGGGACTGTTGGTGTGCTCAGCACCAGTGCTGCTTGTGATATAAATATGTGCCTGTGTAGCGTATTAAGGCAGGGACTGCAGCTATGGTGCAGCCAGAGACCTTTATTGAGTGACCATACAGGCTTTTATAGCAGTCTGTCTAGAGGCTGGTTGCATCTGTATTTTCCATCACAAAACAATGCTCCTTCTCCACGTGCTTCACCATGCACTTCTCCAGCCAATGGCTTTACTGATCATATGCTGTTGCATTTCCCCCTTCTTTGTTAAGCTTTGCAGAGTGAGCACAGTATGTGTTTTGTAAGCATTACTTGATTTATGCTTTGATTTATAAGTCATTGGATACAAGAAAAACATGGTAGACATATTGTAATCATCAATAACACTATAAGCCCTATCACAACAAAGCCAGCTATATGTCTAAGCTAAGGACCAAAATTTCCCAGCCAAGAGAACAGTCCAAAAGGGTCCCCCCCTTGGTTTTGTTGCAACTCTCCAGATAATTCCTTCAAGTCCTGAATGCTTTTGTGAATTGAGTGATCACTCAGATTCATGCAGCACATTCTGTTGAAATCTTCACAGCCATGCCCCTGGGCTAATAACAAAAAGTCTATCGCTGCCCAATTCTGCAGTGTTGCATGACACACAGAATCAGCATCTGTTAACAACCCTGTCAGGGCATTGCTAGTGGCATTACTCTCTGTCACTAGCCAACAGCCCAATTTATTAGTATGGTTAAAGCATGGGCAGTAGCAATAGAAGGAATTAAAGAACCAAAAAACCTTTGCTCGCGATTCCAAAAGTCAATGTGGGAGTTACAGGCTAAGTTGAATTGTATGGCGGTGCATCTGCTTCATTGGTGCTGTAGGGTCCAATTAACACAGGCTTGATTACTGGGATGAAACATGGTTAAACGACTAAAGGTGCAGGGGTTTACCTGGAATTCCTTTCCATGCTCTATCACCACAGATTGGAAAAATATTATCAGGAAGACCTCCTGCATTGGCCCCTGGTGTAACTGATAAGGGAGTAGTGAAATTACACCAGGCAGAATTACTGAGATAAATGCCAGCGCCACTTACATCAATTCCTGTCTTGTTTATGTTCAGGCCACTACTGTATTAAGAGAAAAACATACAGTAGCTTGTATGGAGCCCAGTATTTCAAGTTCCTGAGGATGTAGTGGGAGAGCAGGAAAGTCACCTACTTTGTTCATGCCATTTCCTGAGTCGTTGCTCTGATACTATCCTGCAGGCTGACTAGCATTGGATCACTGTGTTCCTAGGCACCACCATAATGCCTCACACCTACCTGGATCTGTACAGTTGCGTGTAATCGTTTGGTTATATAGCTGGTCCCATTCATGTTCTGTCAGAGGAATGCCAACCAGACAGGTTCAGAATGGATCACTGGGGCTGGTCATGGCAACACAAAGGGTGGACTGATTAGTTGCATTGGCTAGAGTAAGCCAAACATTAGGTTTTGGTTTTGAGATCCATGCGCAGCTCACAATCCTTGAGAGTCTACTGAGGATGACAAGGGCTGCACACATCATGCTGGCACCCATTATAACTGATTTCCTGCATGGAGCCCTGGGTCGCAACTGATGTGTCAGTGTTCCAGGTGCCTGCTACAGGGTCCCTCCATGCCATACCTGCTTCTTTACTTTTCCCAGAACCATCGGTGAAGATGGTAAGACCAACTACAGGCGCTGAGTGGCACCGCTGTTTCACATATAAAGGCAGATGGCAAATATCAGTCCAAAGGTTGTGTTTTGGATAACAAATTGAGAGTCATCCCTGATAGTCTGCTAAGGCCATTTGCACAATGCTGCCTTCTGCTAATAACCAGTCAAGGTTTTCCTTTGTGGCTGGGACATAGATTATGTCAGGAAGCAGGCTCTCTTGTGGGCCAATTAGGGGGCTACTCAGAACTTTATATGATTAAAACATCCGCTCCAGTGTCCACTAATCTGTGAAACCTTGTATATAGCATGTCATCAAGGGTTGCAAGTCCTTTAGAGCCTTGGCCCAAGATATTTGGGGGGTTCCTGTGCTACTGAATCCAGAACCACCTCTGGCCACTTGACCCCCTGTCACCCCTCCAACAAACAGAACAAGCTGAGCAATACACTGCCCCTCTGGGATATAACAAGGGGGCACAGGGGTCCAAGCCATAATCAATATTTCTCAGTATAGTCAGCATCTGTAACACCCGGTAATACAAAGAGGCCTAATTTAGTAGTAGAAGAACACCCGATGAATAAAGCATGCATGCCATTGCTGATCGGCCCATAGGCTCCCATCAGCAGCAGGGATACTTGCGTGTCATTCAGGGTGACCGGGCATCGGACAGCCAGGTCCAAGCCAGCACTTCCCGAGGTTCCTGGCCGCAGCTCGCCGGCTGAACGCCAGGATGCAGATTTCTTTGGTTGTTTGGGATGTGTGGTCTCGCCCCCCAGCTCCTGTTTCCTGAGATGGAAGGAACCACATAACCATTAGCATGGTATTTTGAGTGACACTCATTGGCCCAGTGTTTCCCTTTTCCATATCGAGGGCAATTGTGAGGGGGCATAGCCTTTTTGCTGCCCGTTTTTGGACACTCTGGCTTTAAATGCTCAGGGGCACTGCACTGATAGCAACTTATACCCCCTTTTCCTGTTTCCCTCATTTTGAGCTGAGCCGTTGGGGCACTCACTAAAGCTGCAGTGTGATTACTGGTAGATCCAATATTTTGACAACCCCGCACCATATCTGCTAAGATTGGGTTGCGATTACGGGTTGGTTGCAAGGCAGGCTTGCAGTGTTCATTTGCGTTTTCATAAGCTAATTATCTAAGGAGCAACTCCCTAGCTTCATCATGTTCAATCTGCCGCTCTAGGGTGGCCTGTAACCAGTCTATAAAAAGAGGATACGATTCTGTCAGGCCTTGCAATATTTTAGCAAATGACTCAGCTGCACCCTGTCCAGACTCAGGAATTTTCTGAACAGCCCAGAGGGCAGCAGCCTGAATTTGGACATACACCTCCTGGGGACAATTCACTTGTGCAGGAGGAGCCACAAATGCATTTTCCCCTGCCAACTGATCATAGCCAGCTCCATGACCTTGATTTATATTTTCCATTGAGGTGATCACACACTGTTCTTTAAAATCATTCTGCCACATCATAAATTGCTTAGGGGTTAACACCATATGCAATAAAGCTTTCCAGTCATACAGAGTTAGGATATATGATTCTGCAGTTGCTTCTAGCAGAGACACGGCAAAAGGTGAATGGATACCTCTCTGCTTAATTGCCTTACAAATGTCTTTAACTGCTTCATAAGGAAGCTCTTGCCATTCAGGTGGCCTATTGGGTTGATAAATCACATGGCATGCCAAAGCAACTTGCCAGTCACCCTGCTTTATTGCCTCCTTTCTACAGACTTACCAGTTACATGCTGTGGTTTCTACTGTTACTGGAGCATTCACATCAGGAGACAGAGGGAATAAATCAGGCTCCTTTTCACAGTCTATTGGTCCTGGATCAAAAGGATCACTGCCTTCCTCAGAGTTTGGCTCAGGACCCTCTTCATTTTGCAACAAAAACATGTTGGTCAATGGGAATGGTTTAGGGTTCACTGGAGGGTGACCTGCTGACTCTAGAGGTGCCAATGGTGCGACAGGGGAGGAGGACTGCTGTTGATTAGTCTTTAGTGTGGCCAGAATCTGCTACCAAGTCCCAAGGTGTGGTCCTGTACACACATCTGCAGCAACAGCGGCTTGTAATTGTGTCCCTACCGCTTGCCAGGATGCTATTTGAAGAGCGCCTTCTGACAGAAAATCTGGCACATTCTTTTGAATCCATTCTAGCAAAGTCAGTAATTGAGGCCCCATCACAGCCCTTTCTTGAGCATCTAACCATTCACACAAAGTCTCTATACTGCACTTCTGTGCCTGGAATAGCTTCCCTCCCATGGCTCCCAGCTGCTCACCTACCCACCAGGTGATGTGTGCGCAATCCCCCTGTAGTCCTTGGTTCAGTCGGGCTATCCCACCAGTCCGGACTCTGTGAGTCTCCTATTCAAGTCCCTGTTCGGGCACCATTTGTAGCATATTAAGGCACAGACTCCAGCCATGGCGCCATCAGAGACCTTTACTGAGTGAGCATACCGGCTGTTACAGCAGTCTGCCCAGAGGCTCGTGCCAGCTGTGTTTTCCATCACGACACAGTGTGCACACACTTCTCCGGCCAATGGCTTTACCGATCACACGCCTTTCAGCCAATCATATTACTGTTCACACGCTATTGCTTAAGCAACTATTCCATATTAGGCAAGTGCTTACTTTAAGCATAAACATTGTTTTCGCTGCTACTTCCTGCTACCCGTATGAACATTGTTACTGCCCGTTCGCCTTGGCCGCGCATTGTCCCGTTGGCCCACGTGCCTGTGCTGGAACTGCGTAGTTTTCACTCTGTTGTTTTACAGACCCGATCCCGATGGTAACTGCAGGTTAAAGGGTTCAAAGGAGAGCGGCAGCTCCGCGCTCTGCTGTTGGCTCCGCTATCGCCCGGCTCACCAGGAGCTGCGCTGCCGGACGGGCCTTGCCCGGCTCTGCCCCAGGCCCCGCTGCCGCGCACCGAGCTCCGCTAAGGACCGCGCCGGACCCGCGGCACCGGCTGAGTCCCACCCCCGGGGCGGGTCGCGCATGCGCGGGCGGGGCCGCCGCCGCTTCCGGAGGGGTGCTGCGGGAGCGGGGCCATGCCGCTGGCGGGCGGGCTGCCCGGGGGGGCGGGAGCCATGGCGGCGGCACCGGCGGTGGGGCCCATGAGCCTGCGGGACCTGCTGCTGACCGCCACGGCCGCCGCAGAGGGGAGCGGCGGCGATGAGGAGGTGTGCGTGGTGGGCGTCTTCGGGAAGACGGCGCTGCAGCTGTGCTCGGAGAAGGAGGCCCTGGTGAACACCGTGTGCGACCGGCAGGTCTTCCCCCTCTTCGATGAGGAGGATGACCCCGACCTGGAGGACGGTGCCCTAGGGGAGGAGGTCGACCCGGCCACCAAGGACTACAACCAGCTCCAGGCCTACTACAGCCAGGAGAACCGGGTGCTGTTCCTGGTGCTCACCAGCATCTGTGACACGCGGCAGCTTCTGCGGGCATGCGGGGACTTGGCGGCGGCCGAAAGCAGGGAGACGGGGCCCGGCCATCCCTCCGGTGGCCCTTCCCCGCTGTCCCACGCTGAGGCCCACGAGTTCTGGAAGCACCAGGAGAAGCTGCACTGCCTGAGCCTCCTCTACCTCTTCTCTGTCTGCCACATCTTGCTGCTGGTGCACCCCACCTGCTCCTTCGACATCACCTATGACCGCGTCTTCAGGGCGCTGGATGGGCTGCGGCAGAAGGTCCTGCCCTCCATGAAGGCAGCCATCAAAGACTGCCCGATTGGCAAGGAATGGAAGCTCAACTGCAGGCCCTGCCCTCCACGCCTCCTCTTCCTCTTCCAGCTCAACGGAGCCCTCAAGGTGGATCCCCTCCCAAGCAGGGGCCAGGACCCCTGTGGTCACCTGGAAAAGCCACCTCCCAAGAAGCACTCCCCTAAGAGGAGGCTGCAGCATGCTCTGGAGGATCAGATCTACCGCATCTTCCGCAAGAGCAGGGTGTTAACCAACCAGAGCATCAACTGCCTGTTCACTGTGCCTGCTAACCAGGCGTTTGTGTACATTG